ATTAGGATTATTATTCAAACATATATTTACGAGTATATATGGAAATTTTATCTAATAATTCTCTATAGTATTATAAAAATCAATAAATTCTCGCTAATTAATAGCCTATCATATTATCAATAAAAAATTTCAATATCCTTGTAATAATAAATTATTCATTCAAAATAAATTATCATAATATACATTAAATATTAATTGATTATTATTCTATGTAAAATAAATTTCAAAAAATAATTACTACGTTGTTCTGTAAACTGAAAAACTGTGTGCAGCTTACACAGCTTATAAAAATAGCATAAAAACAAATATTGACTAATAATTTCCGTTATGATCCTTTTGTATCCTTTTCAATAATTAGCATATCAAAAGTATATATATTAGAATAATTAATAGGAAAATAGTATAATTAAAAAAAAACTCATAAATATTTTAATGCGTTGCCATTTTGAATTTCAGGTCTTTTGTTTTTTTCAATTAACATACAAAAGATTCTGTAAATCATATTCATATAATTTTAATATTTTTCTTCATCTTTTCCTTCCTATAGTGTTTTTTTATATTTTGCTCATATATACGGAGATGGACGTGCTATGAGATAAAGGATGTTAATAAACATTAATATTTTAATTTGAAAGGAATTGGGCATAAAAAATTCAATATTAGTATTATTTGAAAAACAGATTTCACGTCTCAATTGAATATTAAAATTCAGGGTCATGAATTAGTTTGGAAAAATATTTTCTTATTAACAGAAATGTATAGATGGTGATTGAATTTGTTGTAGTTCTAATACTGTTCTTAGGTTACTGCACATTATATTAGTTTTATGTATTTTTGTAGAAAAATATCTTAATTTATTGGAGAAAATGTAAGTTTTAGACCATAATATAAATAAGTACATGGATTCAAATCCCTTATTAACCTTCAAACTTATTTTGAAATGCTTTAAAATTCATTCTAAAGCAAATTAAATTAAGTTATACTTTAATTTATGAGTTTTTAAATTACTAAAATCTTGAAAATATCAAATTTTTATTTTTCGTATTAAAATTTTTAATCGCGTTATGTATCAAGTTAAATGATTTTAAAATCAATATTAAAATCGTAATTTAAACTCTGTGATACCCTTACGAATGAGTGATTTTAAGTGCTATGTGTTGATTGCCACATTGTTCCATTCGACCCTCCTGGTTTTTTATTCATTTGTGCAAAATTTCAGGACTGTATAATTTCAATAGTTTTTATAATATACAACAAAATGACTTTCGTAGTTGTATGGCAACTACGACCGCAAGTCAAGGCATTCCAAATAGTTTTAGCAAATAGCAGAACCATAATTTACGCTTATACGAAATTTCGATATTATAGCACCAATAAATTCTGAGATATAGTTGAATACTTTTGAAGTTATAAGGCAGCAACTGCTCCCCATTACATCCAATTTAAATAGTCATATGTGAAAATTTGGTGAACCTTGCTCTATTAGTTTCTAAATTACAGTTTAGAAGAATGGACGGACATGGTCAAATTAGCTCAAAATTCGACGCTGATCAAAAACATATACTTACGAGTATATCTATCTTTCAGACTATTATACCAACATACATACGTTCGTACGGGTAAAAAAACGGTAGAGTGCATCAAAAGTTTGTAAAAAGGAATGGAATCATACAAAAACTTAATTTTTCATAAATAACTTAAATATTTACCGGAATTTTAATCTCAAACCCGGATGATTGTTAGGGTTCTATCATCCTTCCTCATAGAACAAATCTTAATTTTTATATAATTTTAGTTGCTTAGATAGCAAAAATAATCGTTTACGAAGATCAATCGTAATCCAACTACTGGTGTCAGTCGAAGATGACCAAATTGTAGGACCACATTTACCCCTTTTATAGTGATCTATAAATTTATTCAAGTTATATGAATAAAACTCAACACTGAACAAAAGCCTAAGGAAAAATTCGACATGAAACAAGTGATCTGAATAAAAGAATTTTCACAGAAGAACTCAACGCTGGTTGATTAATTAAACTATTACAATATTCACTACACTTGTTAAAAGTTTATTGAATAAAAAATTGTATTGAAAATTTCAATTAATCTTGCAATGTGAAATCTATTACATAAAGTTTGATGTGTACAAAAATAATGATAGTGAATTCGAAAAACAGAGAAGTGATTAAGTCCCCCTCCATTAATAAATTTCGATAAAATCTCTTTAAAAAAAAAAACAAAATTATTACTTTCAAGAGAAATCATAAAATTCAATCGTTTTTAGCACTTTTCCAAAAATTTTTTGAAAAAAAGTGCTTATTAGTTTCACTCTGTCCGTCCGTCCGTCCGTCCGTCCGTCCGTCCGTCCGTCCGTCCGTCCGTCCGTCCGTCCGTCCGTCCGTCCGTCCGTCCGTCCGTCCGTCCGTCTGTCCGTCCGTCCGTCCGTCCGTCTGTCCGTGTGTCTGTTTACAAAACTTCTACATTCTTAAAGATAGAAAGCTGAAATTTAATACGTACATAGATCTTTACTAGAAACTTATTTTCGTAGAACAAAATTTTTACCTATCTCCCCCCCTCTAGAAGTTATACCCCCCCAAAGCACTAAAAATGGCCTATTTTATTTATTTGTTGCAGTGAAACCATAAGCATTTTTGAAATTTTGCAAACGCAGAAGGGCAGTGACTTGCTTCCCCTACCGCGGTATACTATAGTTAAACTTTAGAAAAACAAAATGGCCGTTCAAATTTACCGTTATCTAAAGTCCTTTTTTTCCAAATTTTTCATGTCGTTTTTCTTCTAGACCTCAGCCTGTAGAAGCTTGAAATTTTAGGGGCTTTTAGACATTAACAAGTAGTTCATTTCGTTAGAAGAAAATTTTTTTCCATCTCCACCCCCTCTCAAGTTATGGCCTCTTGAAATTTGTGAAATATGCATTTTTGACACCTTATATTTCTGAAACCGCAAGTTTTTTCAAATTTCTATAAACGCAAAAAGTTAACAGTAAATTCCATGAAATTAAAAAATATAATTATTTTTCTTAACTCACACAATTAACCCTTAAAATCGAGGATTATGTTAACCCCTGTTTATATTAAATTTTGCTTTATTTCAAAGACTGCATAAATCGTTCATCCTAAATATATGCAATCCTAGAAATAGTTTCGTTTATAAATGAAAATAATTTTAATAGTGTGGTGGATATACATACACTGTTTTTAAAAGCAGTGTTTTCACTTGTTTAAGGGAAAAGTGCTACAATACAAACCATTGGTTTGACCCAACTTTATTTTTCTCTGCTTTAAGGGAACGAGCATAAAAAAAATATTCTTTGAAGTTTGTTTTTCCCCTATTTCTCGTTCGGTTTTGCAATATATACAAAGTTTTTATGTAACAAACTCCCTAATTTGAAAATTATATGGAAAAAAATTACAGTAACAAATAACAAAGATATTGTTCATAATCATAAGGCCGTTTAAGTAGAAAAATTCCTATAGTAGATTACATACATTGCAGAACAAGTAATTTGAATTTTTCTATAACAACTGAAATTAATTTGTTTCCTCATTAAAATAAACACATTCTCTTTATAGGGTGTACAACGCACCGCCACAATTTTGTAAAAGTAGAAAAGGAAGAAGTGTACAATACTTTTTTTTTTTTAAATAAATAAATTTTTTTTTTTGTCGTAACTCTTTCAATATGCCAATAAAAGTAAAAGCGTAACATTAATACGCACTCTTTCTTAATAAAACAAAAAATACAGTGTTACCAATGAACATTTCAAAAATCATGGTGGGTATTATATGATTGTATCGACATTTTTATGAAAATATTTAAAGTTTAGAAAATTTGGAACTACTTAATTAATTCAATGATTTCGCCTCACCAGTTTACAGAAGAAAAATATTTATTTTGGGGTATTTCGATGCTTTGTCAGAATTACAGCGAATTTTCTATGTGATAATGACCAATTTATTTTGGCATAAAACGCCAAAATTGAATACATATTCTAATCCGGTTGTCGCACGGAAATCTTGATTTTGTGCATGAAGTCAATTTTTCCTAACAACCGCATGAGTTTAGCAGTATGTACTTAAAATAATATTGAAGAAAATCTTCACAAGGTAATGCAATTCAAATTTTAAGATATTATTATAAAATCTTTACAGCAGTATATTAAGATACGATCCTGTTTTAAATTGAGTTAGGAGATATTTTTTAAATATCTCGCTTAATATAATTAAGTGTCAAATATTGAAAAAAGTTAAAATGTCAGCAGATGCAGCTACATTATTCCCAGGGCTCTCAAACTTTTTGATTATATAAAACGTAAATAACAACTAAAATGTCTCTCCAAAATCATTAAAATTTCGGAGAAAAATAAGGAAAAAGAAATTATTATTGTAGCAATCTGGCAACAACCAATAATTTCTCTATCTTTCGCATTCTTTGTTTTCTGTTTTCCTTCAAAGAAAATATACCGAAACAAAAACAATGTTTTTTTTTTATGAAGTGTTCATTCAATGGTTTGTTTGTTATATAAATGTATGCGATGTGATGAGTACAGAAATAATGTAGCAAAACAATAAAAATGAATTCTTTATATATAGTAAAGAATAACAAAATATTAGCTTTATCTAGATTCTAGTAATAATAAAATATAAAATATTCATGTGGTACTCTTGTATGTACATATATACATGCTCCCTAGTTCATTTTACTTTTACTCTCCCTACACATAAATTTTCTCATTAATATGAAAATTATTCATTAGTGAATCAAAAGAGTCAAGTATGTACTTTAAATATATACATTATATTAAATATATATGTAAGTATGTTTATATAGATTCACTATAAACACAAATATAAATTTGTTTTTATGTTGATGCTCTGTTTTTATGGACTCCTCATTCTTTACCACAAATTATAAACATAAGAGAAAAGAAATATAATAAAAATTTTTTTTTTCTTTTTTGTCTTTAGTCTTTGATTACTTACCGTAAATAAACAGCTGGCAACACAAACAGCCGCCCAAGATCCAACCCAATAGCGGAGGACAGCACGTTCATTTTCCGGGAAAAACATTGCGTGACATGGTGCTCCACAATCACGAGTTTCCTGTAACAAAAATAATAAAAAAAAAATTTATTAGTAAAAATAAAAGTAAAATAAAATAAGAGAAAAAAAATCATTTGGAAGGAAAACACCAATATTTTAAGTACAAATTTTCAATAAAAAAAAAAAAAAAAAGAAAATGGAAAATTCAATGAAAGGAAACCAAAGATGGTGAAATGAAATTTATTGATCTGAATTTGTTTTTTTTCTTTACTTTGGTTTTTGGAATATATTAAAAATTTTTATGAGGTGATTTTAATTATATGGCGATTCTTTGATTTTTTATTTATGTATTTGCAAATTCAAAAGAAAAATACACAAAATACGGATCTCATAATGTACAAATTTTCAAGGAAACAGATAAAAATATTCCAGAACGTCGTATACGTAATGAAACTCATTAAATAAAAAATATAATTAACGTTTTTGGGGTTCTTTTTTCCTGTGAAAATTGAATTTATTTTGTAATATTTTCAATATTTTAAAGTACTTAGTGTAAGTTTTTACAGAAATTTGATGGAAAATTTAGACTAAATTCACTTTAAATTCTTAAAGTTTAAATATTTTAATAACTAATTTTATTGGGATTCTAAATGTGCTTGGTAACAAATTCTCTTATGAATACATTGTATCCGTTACAGATTTTTTTCCAAGAAGAATCGTTTAGAGCTCTTCAATTGCTCTCTCCATTGCTGAAATAAAATTCCCTAAGCGCATATAATAATATGTAAAATGATATTCAGAGATATTACTTGATGAAACCCTGGTGTAAAAAAAATGTGTAAACAAAGCAAAATTCATTTTAAGATTACATAGCAATTCAAAAAAAAATTGAAAAGTTGCAGTATTTTTAACCCTAAGTAAAATATTGGTAAAATAGTATTGATTTTTGAAACACACACTTTTCTAGCAAATTTTAGTGCTGACGGAGAACTACATTTTCAAAAAACGTGGATCATCAATTTAAAAATTTTCAGGCGCAAAATTTTAATGCATTCAGAGGTTGACAGAATTAGAAGTTCTTTTAGATGATTTTCGTCACCGATCATCACATGAAAGTTTGCAATGAAATATTTTTCGAAATTACAATCAAATTATTTAATCGCAATAAAATATTTCATTTTAAACACAACTAAATTATATTTTCTTATCAAAATATTAAAAAATTAATGAAATATTTTCTTATTTTAATTGACAATATTTTACATAAACATGAACTTTACATATAATAACGATAATTATAATTATAATTTTTCTTATAAAAAATTTAATAATCTACAAATGAGTTTAAACGTCTCAATTATCTCAAAACAAGTTGAGTACCAACTTAAAACAAAAATTACAAAATCTTAAAATAAATAATAAAATAAATATTTTAATTTTATAAATTCCTATTAAAAATTCTACAAAAAAAAAAATATACAGGGTGTGCGAAAATTGACAGACCTTCCGCACCTGTCCATACGAATGAGTGTATATATGAAGAGAAAATACTCGTAACAGCTATGAAGCTTTAAAAATGATTACTTTCGAGCTATAAAGTTTTAATGATGGTTTTAGTGATGAAATTTTTACAGTTTTTCTTACAACTCTGGAATTCGTGTAATTTTTAAAACCGTAAATTTTCTCTTTTAACGACGCATCATTACTTCCATACATTTTGGCGAAATATTAATCGATTTTTACAGGGTGTTTCATATAAGGTGACAAATAATTTCAGGGATGATTCCTTGAACAATTTCCAGCAAAAAAATTGTATGGGGAGGGAGGGGGGATATGAAGATATACTTGTTTTCGAACTACAGCCTGTTGAAAAAAAAAGATACCGGACTTTTCCTTCATATCAATAAATACTTATAACTTCGGAGCCATATACAACATAAAGTTACCATTAGGAGCTTGTTTTACAGGCGATTGATTATTCTTTCGATTCGGTCTCACAATTAATTTTATTTGAGTCATAGACTTCGAGGAACAGCTCGTCAAAGCCAGAATTTTTGTTTTTTAAGTAAATCAAGTTTGAACTCCTATATTTCAAAAAAAACTCCTATAAAAGCAAAATGTCTCTTATTATTTTTAGTTTGTTTTGGATTCATCCAATATCGTTGACTCTCAGACACCTTGCATAGCATGCACTATTACTTCTTGCATGTATGCTTGAATTTAAAATAGAAAATTCCTGTTAATAAACTCTTACATAATCATTATACTAAAAGTAAAAAAGTTATGTTTAATAATTAAATTATTTTGAAAAAAAAAAAATAAAAATAAAATAAAACACACAATATTTATCAAGAATTGATTTTATAATCAATTCTATTAATTATGTAACAACTTTCTTATTCCTGGAATTAAATTTAATTAAGCATTTTAAAGTACTTATAAGAATATTTTTATTTAATTAAATTTTAAGAATTTTAAATCTTATCATTAAAATATTTATATATCACCATTATTTTACAGTTACATATATGACATGAACATATTTATTTAAAAAATAAAGTTTTAAATTACACGATTTTTATATTTTCTTTCATTTCAATTTGCAAAACTATGTATATACTTCATAGAATTAGATATATATATATATTTGTATATGAGATTGTACACATTCAAACGCATTTCTATATTTATTGATATCAAATTAAGGAAATAAAATAATTTATCCAAGTATTTTTTTTACGAAAAAAACAAGTAAAAAACAAAAAATAAATTGCTAAGAATTGAGTTACAAATCTTGAATTTCCACTATATTTTCCAATTTCCTAGCTCTTCTCTATTTACTTTTCTCTATAAACATTTTCGTTGGTGTATATACCTTGGTATATTAAGTGTAGTATTCGAATTTCAATTTTCCTTTAGATTGCATTTGTGAATCGTATGTGTGTGTACAGGTACCTACCTAATAAATTATATTCTATTTATCTACAAAGTAGATAGTTTATATCTTAAAATTGTATCAAAAATAGATAAGTAAATAACATCTTTGAAAATTAATAACAATTTTTTTTTTTTTAAAAACTTTGTACGTTTATTGAATAATAATAAATTCAGTGACGTAACTCAAATTCTTAAATAAGGTACAAAAGAATTTAAAAATTTAACTAATTTTATTGGATTTTACAAAACATTGAAGAGATGCTGACTTGCATAACTTCTCACATTAAAATTTACTTGCATTAAAGAATTGTTAAGAAGAAATTTTAAAGCAAGAGATAGCAAAAGAAAATCAGGTTTTTGGATTTATCTTCACTTGTAATAAAAATGACACGAAATACTTCTGCTCTCTTGTTAAAAAACCCTTGTTGCGTATTAAACTGTTCTTGAAGTATAGGAAGAGATTTGCATTTCAATTTTCAAATTAAAAATGCCCGTGTGACCCTGTTAGAGAAATGACTAAAACTACTCTCTTTGTGAGGTATAGTAAGATGAACTTTCATTATGCGATAAATATCGAATAGTGAGAATCAGAATTTATTTCGAAATTTTAAGTGAATTAAAAAAATTTTCCAAAAAATATTAGACGTATAACTAAATTGAAGATAAAATTTAAAATAACAATAATCTGAAAAAACTGAAACTAAAAGGGCCACTATCGATCAAATTACTTTATTTACCAGTTAATTATTATAGCCTATTAATAAATCAAAGGGTAGTCTTATATTTCCTATCAAACGTTTAGTCATTACCTACTGCAATACCTAGAAAGTTATGTGGCAATGTAATAATCGAAAACAAAATATATAGAAATTACTGAAGCTTTTGAATCTGTTATATGGCCCCCAAATTAAAAAAATATTTTACTTCATATACAACTTCCAAATTTGTAGATACGGCGACATAATATGATACCTAATATTATCTAACTTCTAATTGTTAATTCTCTATTTCTTCGTCGGATAGTTTTAGTATGTATGGGGTGACAATAATTTTGAAATACACAAATAGAAGATGAAAATTATGTTTGTCAATAAGTCGGTTTGTGAGGACATTATGCAACAATATTTTCCAGTGTAGCAGCTAAATTTTAATATAAAATTTTACAAAGTTCTGAATTAAATGATCGGAAAAAGTCAAATTATCTCAATGATATATATGCGCTCTATATTATCATATACAACAAAACCCATGCCTATACTCCATAGATATTCCATAAAGAAAATAAAAACTTAAGTACGTACAAATATGTTTTTGCTATTACAGATAATTTCAAAACTTGTTCTACTTAAATAATTTCAGTAGAAGAAAAAAAGTATTTTCTATTTTTCTATTTTTATTTGCACAATTCACAATCGTTACATATTCTGACGTTTAACACTAAAATAAAACATAATAATGGTTCATTTAACCTATAGGAAAAAAAAAAATAACATGTCTTTTGCCGTAACACTAATGGAAATACTAAAAAAATTCTTATTACAAAAAAATTTTTTTTTCATTCGTTTTGTTATAAACAAAAATATACTTGTATTCCGGTTTATTCTGGCAAAACTGAAAATTAGAACTTTCAACACACGAAAAAAAAAATGAACATAAAATTTAGAAATAAAAAATATTAAACATTCTTCTAACATCTTTAATGAGCTCTCGTTTTGATAACTATCTTTTGATTACATACCGTTTTACATAGCTACATATTACGAAATTACAATATTCTCGGTACATGTACCATTTATTTAAGTGACCTTTTTTTTTTTCTTATGTAAGATTTTGTCGTATAGCGAACGAACTCTTAAATCTCTTTTTTTGTACAATTTATTTTTACAAAACTTTCTTTGATTGCATACAAAGTACATTTAGAACAAAATATTTCTAATTTAAGCGCGTGGCAAAATTACATTTAAATGACCATTTAAGGTAATTTTCATTATCAACAGACTGAACATGAAAATTTTACAATTTTAGATTGTGACTGTTGTTAACCCATTACGTAAATTATACGAATATATACCAATATTACTGCCATGTCAGTAAGAAATATTTTAGGAAATTTTTTTTACGATACATAAATTTCTCGGAGAAATAAAATATTGATAATTAATAAGTATAACGTAAGTAGGTATAAGGTAATTAAGAAAAATTTTCGAAATTATTTAAATTGATTTTTCTATTAGCAGTAAATGTGTGTTATGTGAATTTTGGAAACAGCGATGATAGTAAAACTATATACATTTTGAAAATATCATGCCCAAATAAAATAATTAAGTCAGTATTTGCGGTATTCGCAAAATTTAGCTTAAACTATAGATCTACGTCGCACATCGGATCTAATGTCCTCTTTCGGGGAGACATAGGAGCAGTTACAGGGGAGACATAGAGCGTTCCAGTTAATAACTGGAACGCTCTATTAACGATCTTTGCAGGAACTGCTGTCTCGAGAATACAGTGGCTCATCGAAAATACAGGAAGTCATGCAAAATTTTAAAAAATTTTAAAAAATTTTTTGTTTTTTTGCCAAGATGGGGAAGGTTGGTTTTGTCAAGGTCGTGCAAAATTTCAAATAATTTTTAAATAAATTTTAAATTTTCAAAAAATTTTTATTTTTTTGCCACTGGCTCATCTTTAGTGCTCATATCCAGCTTTGGCACAAGCAAGGTGTAGGTTCTTTGAGCCGCATTTCTATTTGCGAGTTTAGATTTGAAAAATGTGAATGCCAGAGTGAGGATATGGAGATCACATATGGTTTAAGTGCTTTTTTTGACAGTTGCATCAACATATCGCAGCAACAAATGTGTTTAAAATTTCTTTTTCTTACAATAATCAATCATTTTATCGGTCCACTTTTAAAATTTTTCGATAAAATTTTTCTTATTTTGCATTTTGTCTAAAAAGTACTAAACTCCAAATTTTACAAATAAATAAGAAAATTTTTAAAACATCAACTTTCAGAGTTTCGCTCAGTCTTGTTTTAATTGAAAAGTTATTTTACTGCTTGTGATGCATTAAAAATGCGTTTAATCGCCTAAAATATTGAAAAGTTTCAAAAATAAAAACAAAACTCTAGATTTTCATAAATTCCCTTTAAAAGTGCCAAAAATTATTAAAGTCCCACGGAACAAGGAAAAATCAAAATCAGTAATAATTCCTTTAGACAGAATGAGAAGAAAGCGCAAATACTTTTCTCTTTATTACAATCTCAAAATGAGAGTTTCTGCATAAATATATACGTACCATACATATTATAATTTATACAATTCTATTCACAGAAAAAAGAGCAATTTACCCCCTTCATTTTGTTTCTTTCTCATTAAATTTCACTATTAAAATATTCACTGGTGCAAATACTTAATTTCCTATGTTAGTAAGTCGAGACAAAGTTAATGAAATGTTAAAATAAATTTATATTCTGCACATAAAAACAATAAAAAGCATAGAAGTTTTCAATTTAGTTATTTTAGAGTAGACCATGCTTTAGATACAGGGTTCTACGTTATACTGCACTAATTAACAGAAAAGAAAATTAAAAAATTTTTATATCCTAAACCACAATTTCGATTTGACAAAAAAATAAAATAAAAACGAAGTGAAAAAAAAAGGATTTTCATTCATTGTATAAGTACACAATGTATTACAAGTCATTATACGCAACCATTGTGTGCACAAGGTGTTTCCAATTATAGTTCAACTTCTATTTTATCGAAGTATAATTCTATGCTATA